ACATAAATGTGCGCGTGTGTGTATATTGCGATGTGCTCTTGTAATCCCCATCCGCCGTATTATTGTTATTATTGTTATTATTCCTTCTTCAGTATGATGATGCCGGCGTGTTGGTGTTCGCGTTGCGGAAGCGTTGTGCGCTCGAGCGCACGCGCGAAGGATAACATGAATGGGCAATATTTTACTCTCTGTGTGCCTGTGTATATTCATCTTTTGTTCTTGCCCTTCTCCCTGTGTCGCCGTCTGCTGCTGCCGATTGGCGCATCAGGAGCACACCAAGGCTTCGAAGGAAGAGAACAACAGAGGGACACGCCGTCACCCACCGAACAGCCAGTGTGCGTGCGTCTGTTTGTGTGTGCGTGCGAACGAAAGATAAAGGCGGGGCTACCGGCACTTATACCAAACACCGCCCAATGAAGTCGTCCGACATATTCCACGCGTATCGCTACACGCCCATCATCTTCAAGAGCCGGCAGCACGACAGCGGCGTCAATCAGTATGGCCTCAAGCCGACCAACTCGTACGATTTCATCAACCCAACGAACCTCGTAAACTTTGGTCGCGGCACGGCGTTTGACAACCTCGGCGTGCGGCGCGCCGGCCGCGGTGAGATCGACTCGTCGCCGTCGCTTGGCGGGTCGCCGGTATTCACACAGGCAAAACTTGTAGGCCTGGGGGGTGAGGATCAGCTTACCATGTGCCAGACAGAGACCATGGCGCTGCGGGTGTGCATGGCGAAGGGTGGACAGAGCGCGTGTGAGCGCGAGAGCCGTGCACTTGATACCTGTTTGTCGCAAGTCGGGCACCTGCGACGTGCAATGAGTGCGGCGTGTTGGGAGTTCAATGACTGGTTTATTCAGAACGTCTCGGACAACCACACCAAGCCATTCCAGCACCGTCCGCATGACTGGCGGCACTTTTATGCGCAGGAGAAGCTGGTGCGGACGCGTCAGCAGAACGGCCACGCGTACGGCCGCCGGCCCAAACAGTTTTCATTCGGCGCGCGTTACGTCAAGACGGAAGGGTACGGCAAGCGTCCACGCCTGCCGTACAACAAGTGAGCAAGTGTGGCAGTTGTGTTGTGGTTGCGGTGGTATGGTTGGCAATAGCAAAGTTTCAAGATGAGAGAGAGATCACTGGAGGTGCCGACACTGCTGCTATTGTTACTGCTGCTACTACTACTAATAATAACGCGGTTCCTCTCAGGGCTTGTATGGACCTTCCTTATCCCTCACTTCCCTTATCCATAGCGTCGTAATCGTAGGGCGCAGGCATATATATATATATATATATAGGTACTGGTCGGGCAAAGGGACGTGGAACCAACAAAAAAAAGAGGACAAAACAACACAAGCGATAGAAATTTTGTATCGATATTTATTCAGATATCGTACGTCCTTCTTCATCAGTTTCTTTACGTGTGGTAATGGGAGGGATTGGGGATGCTGCGGGAATCGCCCGCGTACTGCATGAAAAGTTTGGCAGCGACGTGGCGACATTGAATCGGCTCCTGCGGCAGCGCATTGGCGCCCGCGGCAGACGATTTACCCATGACCACCCCGACACCTTCATGTACATTGAGCGCAGCAAAAACCTCAATGTGGTTGCCTACACCGCGAAAATGCGTGACGCGGCGACACAGGAGTCTGTGCCGTCGGGTGCTGGCCGACGTTGCGTTGTGGACCCTGACGCCCCTGTTCACGCCTATTTCATCACACTCGAGCCCTCCGCGATTGAGGCACGGCGGAAGAAGGGCACCCAGGGCGATATTAGTGAACTCAATTTTTTGCAGCGGACCCTCGCATACGGGTGTAATGCGAAGCCATTAAAGGAGCCATCAGAAGCAAAGGAGGATGTGAAGTCGTGGTTCAGGTACTTCGCACCACTGAGTGTCACTTATGTTGCATTGTCGAAGTGGTCTGCGCTTCTGCTGGTGCTGCCCCCACTCACCGAAGGCACTGATACAGAAACGAGCGCGCAGGAAGCGACCGACACCGCCGTGGTCCTCCTCGCCGGTGTGAACGGCGTGCTGAGTGTCGTTCAGCGCGTGTATGTGAGCAGCACGGAGCCAAAACACTTCTATCAGCTCCCCACGGTCAACTACATTGAATTGTTTGCTGTCGCACTCGACTCTGGAGAGGCCGTGTATGAAAAGAGGGAAAAATAACTCGATGGAGTAAATGAATTGCGTCATGAGGGATATGGTGGCAGGAGGCACCAACCCGAAATTCCTGATGGTGATCAAGTTGCATATTATCTTTCGTGTTTGTAATTTTGTTCTTTCCCCCCATGTTCTCTGCTGAACGGTGCATCAATTTACTTGCCTTTGATATGGTTTCTCTTCTTTCTATGCTGTTGCCTCTACCATCGTTGTTGTTGTACGTTGCTTTGCTCCCGTGGATGGATACGCATACTCATACAACCCCCCCCNAAAAAAAAAAACAAGTTCAATTGACTGGAGGAAGAGCAGCCATGCCCCCGAAGGGTGGCAGTAACGCAAACAACAAGAATCAACAGCAGAGTGGCAAGAAGGGCAAGAAGAGCAATGCTGATGACGACTTCGACGCACTGCTCGCGGATGCGGTGAAGGAGGCCCAAGTGACAAAGTCCAAGCAGCAAACTAGCGGCAAAACCCATCAAAACAACAAGATGCACACGGAGCAGAAGGGAGGCAGCAAGGCGGCGGAGAGCAGTGAAAACTCGGCGCCCACGGTAGTCAGCACTGCCGACCACCCAGACAATCCGTACCCACAGGTGGCACAGGGCATGAAGCGACAGACGTGGCCGGAGCCGACAGTTCCTGTGTGCATGCAGTTCGCTAGCGGGCACTTCCCCCAGGGCGAGATACAGGAGCATCCGGGTGAGGTCAACACGTACCGCCACAGTAGCGAGGAGAAGCGTGCTCTCGAGCGTGCGACGGAGCAGGAGGTACAGGAGCTGCGGCACGCGGCGGAGGTGCATCGCCAGGTGCGCCGCTACGCACAAAGCTTTATCAAGCCTGGCATCTCGCTCATCTCCATGACAAACCGCATCGAGCGTAAGTTGGAGGAGCTCATCGTGAAGGATGGCCTCACGCGTGGGCAGGCGTTCCCAACCGGATGCTCTCTCAACAACGTCGCCGCGCACTACACGCCCAACACTGGCGACAATACTGTCCTGACCTACGACGATGTGATGAAGGTGGATTTTGGCACACAGATCAATGGCAGAATCATCGACTCCGCGTGGACAGTTGCCTTCAAGGACGAGTACACGCCGCTGCTCACCGCCGTAAAGGAGGCGACGTACGAGGGCGTGAAGCAGGCTGGCATCGACGTGCGTCTGTGCGACATTGGCGCGGCGATACAGGAGGTGATGGAGTCGCACGAGGTGGAAATCAATGGCAAGGTGTACCCGGTGAAGAGCATCCGCAACCTCTCTGGCCACAACATCGGACCGTACGTCATCCATAGCGGCAAATCAGTGCCGATTGTGCGCGGCGGGGAGGCAGTGCGCATGGAGGAGGGCGAGCTGTTCGCCATCGAGACATTCGGCTCCACCGGCCGTGGTGTGGTGCAGGAGGACATGGAGTGCTCGCACTACATGATGGTGCCGGGCGGCGAGGCAACGCAGGTGCGCTCCGACAAGGCACAGCAGCTGCTGCGGCACATCCACAAGACGTACGGCACGCTCGCCTTTGCGAGGAAGTGGCTTGACCGCGACGGCTACGACCGGCACCTGCTGAACCTCAGCCAGCTGGTGGATTCGGGGGCGGTGAACAAGTACCCCCCGCTCTGCGACGTGCGCGGCTGCTACACCGCGCAGTTTGAGCACACCATTCTGCTGAAGCCGACGGCGAAGGAGGTGCTCTCCAAGGGCGACGACTACTAGGGTGCCAGTGGGAGGGGAGGGACGGGCAAGGGAACGCGCAGGCCCCCCC